CTCTTAACCACTAAGCCACCTCTCTAGCCCCATTTAAAATATACCTTTGTTGTTAAGTTTGCAATTGTATCTTGTTCATTTTCATTGCTTTTCAGCTTCCTTTGGGCTACATAACATTTAATTTCATTTTTATTTATGTATCATTTTTGAGTGTATTCCTTATAGCGTTTTGTGACTTTACTCAGAAATGGTTGGATGAGCAGAATCCACAATGGTCTTTTTGTTCATCTTGTTCTATTCTATTAAACAGTAGAAATTTTGTCTCTATTCATTTCTTTCCTCTTCTGTTTAGAACATAATTATTGTAGATATTTCCCTCCATCCCTCCATTGAGAGGACCACAAAATATTATTACTACACTGTTATAGTATCAAATGTAAGATTGTAAACTTGAGAAGATTGATTTTGATCTTTCACAAAGTCTCCCCACAAATGGGAAAGATGTCTTCCTAATGTGTTCTGTATAACCAGAGTAGCCTTGATATCAAAACAAGATGGTGGCATCACAGAAAAGATAAACATAGACCAATGTGCTTTACCACATAGACACTATTGATTAGACTTCCATTAAGTCCCGAGAGAATTACATATGGCCGAGGTAAGGCGTCATGAGAATGGAGGGTTGATTTTACACCTGAAAGACCATTGATATAGTGTATTAACATTATAGTAATAGAATGGGAATATAATCAAACGCTTATAGGATGAAGGACAGAATCAGGTGTTCTACTCAATGGATGTAAAGGAAATAGAGCATACGTCCAATACTCTTTGATAATAAAAATACTAAAAGAACTAATAACACAACATCTTTTCTTTTGCATGCTAAAGACCATCCATGAAAATCACACTGCTGACACCCCTCTCTTCCCCATATAAGTCTTGCCTCTCGTTATGTTTACTTAGCATTGTGCTAAATATTCTAGCTGGGACAAATGGAGAGGAAGAAGACATAAGAGATACCCAGACCATAAAGGAATAAGTAAGTGCTGGCTCATGCAAGTTGTCCTCTAATGCACACATACACACACACACACACACACACACACACACACACACACACACACACACATACACACACATGCACATGCACCTTGACATGCATATATACATACAATAGCTAAATAAGTATAAGGAAGATAATTTTTTAAAGAAAAGGAGAAAAGTTATTTCTGCATGAAAACAACATAGTTGAGTTTGAAGGATATCCTAAGAAGTCCACTAAAATGTATAAATAGGTGGGAGGCCTAGCAATCCACTCACAAAAATAGTCTCTTTATGCCAGAAACTAATAATGAATTCAAGGGCAGCTTTATTCATACTATCACAAAAAAGAATAAAATGCTTGGTAATAAATTTAAAGAAGCAGAAAGTTTGCTCACTGAAAACTGCAGTACACTGTTGGAAGAAATTTAATGAGTTATGAATAAGTTGAAATACAACTCATATACTAGGATGAGAACATGTAATGTTGTCAAGATAGTGAAACATCCCAAATCGAGCTAAAGACCCCCCCATTTAATTTCAAGAGGTCATAAACAGACTCTTAGGCTCAAGTCAGTTCATTTTTTTAAATGAATACAAATTTAGTGTGGGTGGGGAAAGTCACAATCCCTGTTGCTTGAGCAACTATGTGGAAGGTTAAAAGTGAACTCACACCATGTGTAAAACTCACCCAACTGGACAACTGGCATAAGTCACAGTTGTAAAACTCCAGAATCTAGAGAAAATGTAAGCATACCTTTTTGACATTTTTATATATGGAAACGTGCATAAAATAAGACAGAAATAACCAATATTAGAGACAGCATGGAAGTCAGGGCAAGAGCATGTGCTCAGTAACCAGTCAGTATATGCTTAAAATGCTTAATGCAAAGTTACCATAAGGCCCCTCAGTCTCCTTCTATGTATAGGACCTGGAGAAGGGCAGACACATACAGACTAAAGCTTATGTTCCCGAGTTTACTGTCATCCCTCACAGTTCAAAGAGGAAAAAACTTTAATGTTGATCAGGCATAACAAACGATGGATAGACACGGTAAGTTGATCAATGGTTGAAGCATGACTTGGCAACCAAAAAATAATGAGGTACCAATCCATGCCACACCACCAATAAACATGGAAAGCAATGTGTTGGGTCAAAGGAACCATCACAGAGCAGAATATGTTAATTATTGTATGTGGAGTCTAATTTAAAGATGGTGAGTGTAATTAGTCTGAGGGCTGGCAAAAACAAGTGGATGAGAAAGAGGCAACATTGGCTAGTGCAGAAAGTCCCCTTCAGACACTAAGTGGTGCTAAGATCGAGTTGTGATGAGGGTCACCTTGTTGGGAACATTAGACATTCACAGTGAGTAAATACACCGAACTGGGCTTTGTATAAAAATGCATAGCTTAAGGAACAGTGAGAAAACCATCTAAAATAAGACACAAACTGAAAAGAGAATAAAACGAAAATAATCATCCCACGGGAAAGATGAGAGATAACTGTCAATGACTTGGGGTCATTGGTGTCTCTGAAACAAAGGGGAAAAGAGGGAACAGAAAAACAGTTTGAAGGAACAGTGTGCAAATATTTTCATCTTTGATGAAACTTTATAGAGTCTATAAGCCTCAGACAACTAAGGTGTTTAGACATATCACATTCAGCCATGGTATGTGTAAAACTTTCTATACACATTTGAGTTGTGTATAAACCACCTAGTAGATGAATAGACCCAATAGTCTGTGCAAACCTTGCACATCTAAGCTATACATAAACAACCTATGTTGCATAAAGTAGCTAAACCTTATGTGGTTAAGGTGTGTATAAACCATCTTCATTCATCTATTATGTGACAGACTTCCCCTGGGGTGTAGCTCACATGTCTACTTGCTACAGAAAATGATCCCAGGGCAGACCAAAATATGGGTATCACCAAAGTCCAACTTGGTTAACCAATGCATTTTATTTGGGTTACTTACAGGAATATTACAGAAAAGTTACTTATAAAGGTGCAGAAATGACTCATAGACAGCTGCAGCATCAAAGCCCACCTAGCATGGTCCCATGAAAACTGGCAATCTGGAGCACACTGCACAGCCTGCAGACAGTTCAATGGGTTAGAAAGTATCTTTCCAGGTGGCTTGGTTGGCCAAAGCCCCTTCCATGCAGCTCAGGTGGTTTCTGCTTCTTCCAAGTGGCTAAAAACTTCTCATCTGAAAGTGACTCTCAGCAGTCATTACTGTTTACTTGGAAGGAGGAGCCTAGTGTATCTATTCAGTTTCAGGAACTTCCTGAAGCTATTTTGAGTTGTTTATTTTCTGTCTTAAGGTGCTACCCTGGGAGACGAAATGTTTCATTAGGAAGAAACTGTTATATAACACTATGTCTAAACCTCACATATCTTAGGTATATGTAAATAACCTAAGATATTTACATTATGTATAAACTACATTATGTATAAACTACCTATACCCAAGTTGTATATGAACTATTTACATTTCAGTGATTAGCTCCTCATTCAGGAGTATATAAAAAGTACCCACTATCATGCTATGTACACCTTATCCATGTCTGTGTATGTATCCACAGTGTAGATGAATAGACCCAAGCAAACACAGGAATACAAAAACAACACAGCCAGAAATGCCCCAAACTGACATGAAAACCCAGGATAGAGAAGACGCTGCCCACAGTCACAGGAAAAGATGATATGTGGAGTAATGACAAGATGAACAGTGACAGATTTCTTATCAGAAGAAAGTGTGAGGTGGTTGGGGACACTGCAAGACTCTCTGCATTTGGGGTACCTCTTCCCCTGTGTTCCACCGTGACACCCAGGGTGACCACTGTGGAACAGTCAGTGATGGTGGTGCTGACCTAATGAGGAGCCTGAGCTTCCAGGAAATTAATAATAGAGTTGAAAATGGACTCCCTAACACATAAGCCATGCAAAAGCAAAAGCTGAACCATGGTTGCAAATACAGGTGCTGAATGTTTTAGGAAAGTTAGGTAGGATTAAAATGAGAGGTAGTCCTAAAATATTCCACTGTTAAGTTTCTGTACTTTTCAATTTTTAGTCACATGAATACTGAAAGACCTATGTAATCATTCTAATTAACTTTCATGTATATTCATATTTCACGTATAAGATGATTTTGATCAGTTTAAAACTCCACAGCTGAGGGAGAATAGCTCGGTGAAGCACTTGTCTAACATAAGCAAACTCTGGTTTCCATTCTCAACATCCACAGTAACCAAAACAAACAACCTATGCCGTCAAATCGTGTATCATTGAATGCATGCTTGAAGTAATTCAAACAGATGACTAGGAACAGAAACTTGAAAATATGCAAACTGAAACAAGCAGATAATAAGTGATCAGGATTAATTATGACGTGGGAGTTGTTGGTGTTGGTGCTGATATAAGTCATGTGACCAACAGCTTCCAAACAACAGAGTGTTCTGGGAACAGGGAAAAGAAGCTGCCCTTTTGTGAGATATCATGTGCAAAAGGCCCAAACAACAGCTGCATATTATTGCAGTATAATTTAATTCTATAAAACGTATGCTTCCAAAGAGAAACCTGTCATAAACTAGTGATGATAGAAAAACAGAAAAAATGAAAGAAATTGAAGAAAGACTTCTCATCTACCATCTGTCTATGCAATTCATCCTTCAGTCTGCCTCTCCCAACTTCTGGAATGATCTGGAAAAGCCCCCACATGATCCCATACGTTTCTCTTGGCTAATTCAAACATTTGGTATTGATTGATTGATTGATTGATTGATTGTGTGTGTGTGTGTGTTTATGCATAAAAAACTGAAGGTAGATTCTCAAACTTGGAACAAAGAACCTCTGAGTTCCTGCCAGCTGCCTGAGAAATCCTTTTGCAGAATGTTTACTTCATCGGTTTGAGCACTGGTTTTTATTTTTTATTTAATGTTTTTATACTTACAGCACACCTGACATATCAGTAAAATTTTTCTTTTTGTTTATTTCCAACACATTCTGCAGAGGCCATCCTAAATTATCCAGTACAGCCATGAAATGCAGAAGCCCTGGAAACAGTCAACACCTTGATGAAGAGCTGCTTGGTATTCATAAACCTTCATGCCTGTCAGGGAATTTTGCTGACACGTCTCAAAAGTCTGAGGAGTGAAACTGTTGTTTTGTTTGCTTCTCGAATTTCGTGGTCAAATATGCACAGAAAGGGTTTAAATCCAACTGGAGCTTCCGACGATGTCTGCAGCGAGCTTCCCGTGCAGTCTGCTTTCTGCTCTAATTTGTTCACATTGGTTTTGATGATCTAATTTAAGATGAGGAGGAATATCTCATGAATTTTTACAGCACTGGGAAGCTGGAAGAGCAGGACACAAACTAAGTTAACATGTAACTTCACAAAGGGAGTGGGTGAAGTATTCCGTGGAAACTGCTCTGACATGGAGTACCCTCTGTCCATGCAGCTGTGTCGCTGGCTCAGCCTAGAGGTTCCTAACGGGATCTGGGGATTCATGGAAAACACTTGCAGGGTTCTGGGGGAGGGTCGGGAAGCAGGGGAGACTTTTGGTCAGGCAGGGGTGACTGCTTTCAGAACCCCAGTAAGGATGCATGCAAGGGATGACCTCCCACACAGGCAGCTCAGATCTGTGTGGGAACCACCAGAAAATGGCATTCATGAGTTGGTTAGATACCCTTTCTTGTTTAGCTTCCGATATATATACATACCAGTGACACTTGTCCCTCACTTCCCTTTTTGGTCTCCATCATAGAAAGAAAATTCTGGAGGATCTAGCTGCGCTAAGGGAAGCTTTGCAAGCACACAGCACTGTCCTCAACTTGTCAAATAAAAATGCCCAACATGCTCAACATCAGGGCACTAGGGGAAGTTACATTAACGCATCCACAGGAAAAAGGACCAGGCTTGTGGAGGACCAGCGTCTGTCATAGCAGGTCTTCTGTGTTCTTGTCCACAGACACTGACTTTCCTTGCCACACTCAGGTGATTTCAGCAGCTCTCCTGATGCCCACCTGAGTAGAGTCTGCCTCTCTCTGGACAGTGTACTTGCCATGAAGTCATGCCTCACGGACTTCCCAAGGAGTGTGGTTGCCATCAATAACTGCATCCTGCACTCACTTGTGAACAGTACACAAACCTGTCCTGAATCCACTGCCTGAGCAGGGTTCCTTGAATGGGAACTTGGAATACTGTATTCCCCAGCTGTGAGTTGCTATGCAGATGGAAACTACCAGCACTGGAAAAGACATCACTCCATTTCCTCCAGATATATTCCCAGGAGTGGATTGCTGGACTCTACAGCAGGTTTTTAAGGAACTCCTATACTGTTTTTTTTTTTTTTTTTTTCATTTGCTGTACCCATTTACATTTCCACTGACAGTATACAAGGCTCTTACATCTCCACACCTGCACCACCATTTAAAAAAAGGATTGGGTCTTTGGATCCCAACCCTTCCACACAGAATTCCCTCATCTCAGCAGGAGGCCAGGCAGTCCTCTGCCAATACGTGGCAGGCACCATCAGAGATAACAGAACAGTTCCCTTTGGTCCCCGTAAAGGCAACTTAAACATATTGGCTTAAACGGGATGATTTCTCATCTGCAGATACAAGGAGCACATGGAGTTTCGAGTGGAAACACGGTGGTTGATTAAAAAAAAAAACAGTAGAAATTCAATAATAAAATTGATTAGAGAGTGTCAGTAATATAGCCTATTGACATGGGAGTTCATCACACTGAAATGAAAACTGATTCCATGTCATCAGTGAGTAGTTATGGGGAATTGGTGCACATCCCACAGCCCCCACCCACCCCCAGTTATCATTTTATCTAGTGGCTTAACAGATGAGGAAGGCAAGATGGAGATGGGCATGAGGAACAGAGCAAGGCAGGTAGGACTGATGACACCGTGTGCTGGGAGCTTGTGTTGAATCCCAAGCCTCTTTTCCAGTTCAAAGCCTTTCTGAGAATGAGCAGGTGATAACCTCCTTTGTTAGCTTAATGCAAAGAAGTATGGATTGCTGCCGTAGCCACGGATTTGAAATGGAACTCTGGAGAGCAATTTCCCCAGCAGCATCATTTCTGTTTCAATCCTGGTATTCCTTTGTTAATAGTTACTTCATAAATGAATAAATAGTCATTCCTCTCATATCTAATTCTAAATACTTGTGCTATATTTTAGGAACTGAAGAAAGTGGTATATTTGGCATGTGCATTTTAAACTTAAACGATACAGTCGTTTAACTGGAAACCACATGTTCAAAAACAAAATTGGCAACAGATTGGAAGTTCAGCATTGATTCAATGATAATTTTTTTTTTAAAATTTTCTGAGTGCCTTGAGTATCAAGAAAGATTTAGCTATGTGCAACTGCACTCAAGTGTACTGTAGAGTGTTCGGTATATGAATGATTGGCCATATTTACAGAAGCAAGATTGGACTGATTTTTCATTAAAGTTGTCTCTAGACATACAAGGAAACTTCAACTTCTTTTAATTATTTCTTTAAGTAATATGAAATGTGGTGATATTGTGTTCCCCAAAATATTATGCACCCTAATAAACTTATCTGGGGTCAGAGAACAGAACAGCCACTAGATATAGAGGCCAGAAAGTGGTGGCACACACACCTTTAATCCTATCACTTGGGAGGCAGAGATCCATCTGGATCTCTGTGAGTTCAAAGCCACACTGGGAACAGCCAGGCATGGAGACTCACACCTTTAATCCCAGGAAGTGATGGCAGAAAGCAGAAAGGTATATATGACATGAAAACCAGGAACTAAAGCTGGTTAAGCTTTTAGGCCTTTGAGCAGCAGTTCAGCTGAGATCCATTTGGATGAGGACTCAGAAGCTTCCTGTCTGAGGAAACAGGATCAGCTGAGGAACTGGCGAGGTGAGGTGGCTGTGGCTTGCTCTGCTTCTCTGATCTTCCAGCATTCACCCCAATACCCAGCTCCAGGTTTGTTTTTATTAATAAGACCTTTTAAGATTCCTGCTACAGTGAAATATAATAATAATAATAATAATAATAATAATAATAATAATAATAATAATAATAAAATACGATAACTTTTGTTGGTCCAGGAAAGAAAGTTGACACATCATTCCTGTCAGAAGATTCAGTTTATCAGGAGGAAGGACCTTGAAATTATAATCAGGTCTTAAGGTGGGAGGAGAATATTAGGCAGAAAATGGTATAATATGTGGGAGAGACCAAACATGATGGGGCTTGTCTTAGTTAGAGTTTCTATTGCTAGAATAAAATATTATGACCAAAAGAAAAGCAACCTGGGAATGAAAGGGTTCATTTTAGCTTATAATCCTTGGGTCACACCGAGAGAGCTCAGGGTAGATTCTTGGGGCAGGAACCTGGAGGCAGAAACTGAAGTAGAGACTGTGGAGAAGAACTGCTTACTGACTTGTTCCTCATGGCTTGCTCAGTTTTTTTCTCATACACCTCAGGACCACCTGCCCAGGCGTGGAAACTTCCACAATTGAATGGAACCATCTATATCAATCAGTAACCAAAAAAAAGAAAAAAAAAATGCCCCACAGGCTTGCCCACAGAAACTTGGTGGAGGCATTTTAACTGGGATAGGGTCTTAAAGCAGTGGTCCTCAACCTTCCTAATGCTGTGACCCCTTAATACAGTTCCTTGTGCTGTGGTGACCCCCAACCAAAAAACTATTTTCCTTGCTACTTCGTAACTGTAATTTTGCTTCTGTCATGAATTATAATGTAAATTTTTTGGAGATAGAGGTTTGCTAAAGGGATTGTGACCCACAGGTTGAGGACCACTGTCTTAGGGGGAAGGAGGGGCTTCACTTTAAATCACAGAGAGGTGCTTTATTAAGCGTGAAAACAGGAGAGATGGAGAGAGGAAGAGGTGTCCTGAGAGGACTAATGGGGTGGGGGGACACCAGATGACTCCTGAGAGAATTCCTAGAGAATATAGGTTTGGGGGTCTGGTGAGACATTTTGCACCACATGATTTAATTCAATATAGCATCCCTGAAAGAAGGCATGGAGGAGCCACTTACCTAATTTAAGGACTATCAAGTTACAGCATAGACTGCTTCTTAACTTTCTGACCCATGCATGGAGCTACCTGTAGGGGTAGAGGTGGCCTGATCTCTCCAGGCTGTGGGTTCTAGCCTTTTAAGAGTGTCCACTGTTTTTAAAAGGGGCAGGGCCATATTCTGACAAACATCACATCATCACATTTCTTTAAGAAATGTATGCCTTCTCTAGTAAAAATTTTAGTCTAACCACTACAAAACATAGAGTTAAATTATTTAAAGGAGCAGTTAATGTTTATGTAATCTGCTCAATAATTTTGAATTGATCCATGGGAAAGAAACTCCTTAGTCCTGAATTACAGATCTGGGCTCATCCCCAAAAGCAATACTTTGGGTAATTGTTAGAGTTGTGGAAAGCTCTAAGAGTTGTTGGGGTCAAACAATTGAGGTGCTTGCCTTTACTGGATTTAAATGTATATGTAAGTCAATGCTAGTGAAAAGCCCAAGGAGCTAGACTTCCTGCAGTCCTTATGATATGTTAGTGTATCTACTCTCCATTTTAAATCAGGCCTCTACATAATGGAAATTTACAAATAGCAGCTGGTTCTGACTTGAGTGTGACCTTTCAGTAGCCTTGGTACAGTGTGGGCCTGTGGGAAAACGCAGATTGAATCTGTGTGTGAAGATCATGTTGTTCTTATCTTCCCAATTTCAGTTTTCACAAACAGCAACAGGAACAACAAACACATCTAGGGTTGGTGAGAATGTGAAGAGCCCAGGAATATGAAAAATTGTATGCCTATAGCCTGATAATGCCTTAAAACAAGCTGCCTAACCCTTTGCCCTACATTCTCCCAGATACAGGAAAGCTGAATAGACCTAGGCTATGTAAACATCTTGAACTAACACTTTGTAATCAGAGGTTGTAAATCACAACACCAAGGGTGCACTCCATAAGAGTTGTAGACCCTAACCCTAAGAATGCTTTCCCAAGAGGCTGTAAATCCTGATATGTACTCTCTGCCCTGTGTATAACCTTTGGCTATAAAAATATGTTTATAGCCCCTCATTGGAGTCACAGAGCCAAATAACTCTCTGTGGCCCCAGCTAGTTAGAAGTTTTTTCTGTTTCCTGTGGTGTTTTAAATAAAGTTGCTTCTGGTTTATGGACGTTGGTAGTCTGCTGCCTGTTATTTGCGCAATTCCAGGGCCCAACAAATGCAGAAGTGAACTGTAGCCAGAGATTTTATACACAATATAAACTGTTTAGAGGTTTATTTAATCTGAATCTGTTTTATTGTGAATCTATTGTTTTAAACTGTAGATGACTAGGACTGAAATGACAACTTTGGCTGTTGGCTCCGCTCACCTCACCTTTCCAACATGGCGGAACTATGTTTACCATTTACCATCAGCTCAGGGGGAACCATGTTCTCCACTGACTCTGGGAGGCAGTGGGTCTATGCTTCCACCCAGTAGCATGTAGCCCCAAAACCTTTTTTTTCTTTACTAGCAAAAACTAAATCCACCACACAGTGTGCTGCTGCATGGCTCACAGATGCCACTGTGTACAGTGGCAGGAACCTGCCATACTGTAGCTCAAGCCCGCACACCACATCATCTCTGTATCACAGCTTTCCTGAGAGACACAACTAGGAAGCTGCTTTTGGCTCCATTTAGAACCCTTTTCTAAAGCTTTCTCAGGTTTTGGTGGAAATTTTTGCCCCACGTTGGGCATCCATTTGTAGCCAGAGTTTTCCTGTGTCCCACCTGGCCCGCAGTCAGGGCAAATCTCTCTCACCCACAAGTCCCACAGCCGCTGGACCCAAGTAAACACACAGAGGTTTATATTATTTATGAACTGCTCAGCCATTAGCTCAGGCTTACTACTGACTAGCTCTTTCACTTAAACTCAGCCCATTTCTGTTAATCTATACATTGCCACATTTTCCGTGGCTTTACCTGCGTGCCATTACATGCTGCTCCCTGGAGGGCCAACAGGCTGGCATCTCCTGACTCAGGCTTCTCTTCCCAGAATTCTCCTTGTCTGCTTATCCTGCCTATACTTCCTGCCTGGCTACTGACCAATCAGCATTTTATTTATCAACCAATCAGAGTGACACATTCACAGCATACAGAACATCCCACAGCAGTGAACCTACCTCCATCTTGTAGGTTCAATACTTCAAGGAATGATACAGGCGATAGGGAGTTCTGAGCCACTAGGGAAGGGCTGGACACCAGAGAATGACAAGCCAGGGTTTGTGACAACCTATACAGCTGTGCAATAGTACTAGGGTATTGGAGTGGCCACGCACAGCTATGCAGCAGTCTGTCCTGAGGCATTTGAATGACTGACCACACACACCTGTGAATTCTCCGTCATCCTCCATTTAATCAACCTAGTTGTTTCAAAATGGGCCCGAATTTGAGATCCATCACCCTCATGAAGTAAGCATAGCTGTTGATTATGGTTATGACTAATTTAATGGAATCTATAACTGAAGACATCATTTATCGTAATAGTTAACTTTATAAAGCATAGGTAACGATACAATGTTCTGATCAATTCTCTGAAGTGTGGAAGAGAGAAAGCAAGAGAGAGCTAGCTGGAGGGGACAGAATAGCAATCCACACCTGCCCCCTTTTCCTCCAGGGCTCATTCTGTTGGTTTTTGCCTGCTTAGTGTGCAGCCTATGCCATGATCCTGGTTATAAACATGGGAGAAAACAGATGACAATTTGGAGAGTGTCTGGGCTTTATGTTCTCATGAGTGTTGTTCATGGGCAGACTGTTAATAGGAAGAATAGAGAAGTGTACATAGAAAGAAAACTACATCTAGCACGGCGTCTTGCCTTAGAGTTTCACAGAGTTTAGGTTTGTTGGGGGAGGCCGGAGATGAGAGTCTGGGGACACCTACTATGGTATGCCCTTACTAAAGGAGGACAGAAGGACCCCTGTGTGCCCTTTGGTGACTTTCAGACTTGATAGGAGTACATGAAATGTTGACTCCAATCTTCTTGGAAACAAATCTGGGTTGACCCAGGCTTTGGGGTGCTGGAACTGGCATGTTTCCCTGTGCCGCCCACTCCTCAGGAGCAGCAGGACTTTGCAGCCTCCTTGTCAAGGATATTTGGAGTAAAGAAGAATAAAGAACAGCCTTGGAATTCCATTTGTTTTTTTGACAAATATTGACTGAATGTTTTTGTGGATCAGGCACTCTTCTGGAGTTCGGGACATGTGAGTAAACATGCCACTGAGAAATGCAAACATGAGTGATCAAGACAAACTGTCTCTGTGATAATATGTGTGTTATTCAGCAAATAATATGAATGAGGTAGGAAAGCAAGAGATAGAATTAAAATCAGGCCAAGGGGTGTTGGGTTACAGATGAAGCAGGGCCCCTTGTGAGGTAGTGTGGTGTGACTGAGGTGCTCCAAAGCTAAATGAAGATGACAGTGACTGTTCCATCCCAGGCAAGAGAACCAAAGTTCCTTGGAGAGACAGTCACCAAGGCACAGTATCTGAGTGCTGGCACCTCATTAAAAAAAAAAGCCAGTGCCACTAAGCAAGGAGGAAGAGCAGCCTCCAGAACCAAGATTACCTCTGAGTGCCCAGGTAACTACTTGGGCAGTCCCTTCACTATGTTAAGCCCTCCAGACTGTGTGACTTGGGAGACTGTGGAGGGTTGGAGTGGAGAAGTTGCTGAGCAAGCTGCACTGCTGAGAATGGAAAGTGAGAGCATACAGGATGAAGGTGGAGATTGGGTGCCAGGAGAGCCAGCCCAGGCAGAGAGGATGTGGAGGAAGTGGTCTGGGGATGTAAGGAAGGGGCTACATTCAGGCTAGAAAACTCTGATGTAGTCCATACTTGACGGTGAAGAACAGAGGTCCTGGTGAGGGTACCTCAGTCAGTGTTCAGATGAAAATGGTTGCTGATCACTAGATGCCTGGGGAGTGGTCTGGGGCCTG